ACTGATACTTCAGAAAATATCCAAAATGTTGTATAATTTCTAAACACAACTTGCAAACCAAGGAGAGAAAAGGGAGGCAGGAAAGAGGATGGTGATCATTATTTTCTGCTGTGTAATGAACTTCACTTTGAGAGTCTGTTTTTCTGTCTTGAATCAACTGAAGGGTCTGGATTTGAAACATTCCTGTAAGAACTCCTTGCTGCAGGCAAATCCTGTGGAATCAGGGTCTGAGGTGTGTCCTGGAATTAAACAAGGGTTGAAACTTCCAACTGGAGAGCTTGGAGCTCTTGGGAAGTGGGAGTAGCACACACACAAAGAGCCCAGAGCAGGTGGAAGCAGAGTGAGGTGAGGTCCCTGCCAGGGAAGAATCCAAGTCGGGGGAAGCATCAGCTGTGATAAAAGGGAGTCAGTTAAGGGATGAATTCAGGAAATTGGTCCCTGGGACCAGATGAGAGGCATTTCAGAGGGAGCTGAGGGCCTTGTAGTGTCTCCAAAAGTTAACATTCCTGGAAAAAGGCAGTTGTTACACCCATATTGAGGACAGCCAGAGCTCCATCCTGGCACTGCAGCCTCAATCCCAGGGAAAACATGGAATAAATCTACCTGGAAGCCACCTGCAGCTCCATGACAGTCAAAAGGGAGTAAAGACAACCAGCATGGGGTGACTGAGGGCAAACTGGGGATCAGCAGCAAGGCTAAGAATGGAAAGGACTTTTGCAGCTCAAGTCCTCAGCCCAGTTCTGTGCCACTGTAACAGGACATTGAGGGGCTGGAGCGTGGCCAGGGGAGGGAACAGAGCTGGGAAGGGGCTGGAAAACATCCTGGAAGAAGCAGCTGAGGGAGTTGGGAAGGGGCTCAGCCTGGAGGAGGCTCAGGGGGGACCTCATGGCTCTGCACAGCTCCTGCCAGGAGGGGCAGTGAGGGGGGTTGGGTTTTACTGCCCTGTCCCAAGGGAAAGGAGGAGAGGAAATGGCCTCAAATGGCACAAGGGAAGGCTCAAGTTGGAGATTGGGAAAGAAAATTTCCCTGGCAGAATGGTCAGGCCTTGGGATGAGCTGCCCAGGGAGGTTTGGAGTCACTGTGGGAGTGCTCAGGAGGAGTCTGGATGTGGCCTTGGGGATGTCATTTTGGACTGGGTAATCCCAAAGTCCTCTTCCAGCCCTGGGGATTCTGGGATTCATGGCCTGGGTGACGGAGCCAGATGAACTCAATAAGTTCCTGATGCCATCAAATTGAAAAGAACTCAGGAGGGCAGGGCTGCTGCTGAGGGACTTTGACAAATTGGACAAAGGGGCTGGAAAAAAATCCCCTGGAAGTTCCGCTCCTGGGGAAGCAGCTGGAGAAGCTCCCGGTGGCACTGGGGGTGGCAGGGCAGCGCTGCGCTCTGCTGGTGGCACCAAGCAGCTCCTGCTGGGCGGGGCTGGGCCAGTGACTCCTCCTTTTGGGCTCTGCAGGGCTGCACCTGCCTCTGGGCACCCTGGCAGAGTGCAGAATAACCTGGGAAATTTCCAGAGACCCCTGTCAGTCTTAAAAAAAGGAATTGACCCACTTAAAAAACTTATCTGTCAGCATTTGGTTTTATTTTTCCTTATAGCTCTGATGTGTGTTTATTAAAAGAATTAGCAAATAAATGCAGGACTTGGAAGTAACTTCCCCCACAAGTTGATGGAGATATGGCAGCACTGAGAGAACTGGATAAAGGATCTGAGAGTAGAAGGAAATGGGCCACAGAAAGGATGGCTCATGGCAAAGCAATTTGATCAGGAAGAGGACACAGCAAGGACATCCAGGAAGGAAACCAAAAAAAGGGAGGCACAGCCTTTTCCCTGGGCTATACCTCTTACTTCCTGTTTATATTTTAAAGCCTGTGGACAAACTCCTCTTTCTTGCCTTCTCCTCTCTTTTTCTCTCCTTTTGTTCCTGTGGGTTGTGGTAGTTTGGGTTTGTAAATGGATAAAAATACCAGGCATTAATATTGCTTTGAGAAATACAGGTGCTGTGGGGGAAAGGATTGTACCAATGCTTCCTCTGAAATATTTCTGACAGGAATTCAGTTTAGTGTTGGTTTGAAACTGAGGGAATATCCCCCTTCAAGCTGAAAACTGAAGAGACGCTTGAGAAAACTGGTAGATTTAGAAATAATTTCGATTTCTATGCAGCTTTACCTGCGTCTATTTTTTTTTTTTGTTGGTTTATGGGAGTCATGGAGCAAATCCAGTCCGGATTACAAGTCCAGCTTTGTCAGGTGAGCTCTGAACACAGAATTCCATCTCCAGCTAATCCTGTGCTGTTCTCTCCCCAGCCTGAAGCTCCGCTCTCTCCGAGTGAACGTGGGACAGCTCCTGGCCACCATCATGCCCGACCTGGACCTGCAGCAAGTGAATTATGACATCGATGTGGTGGATGAAATCTTAGGGCAAGTGGTAGAACAAATGCATGAAATCAGCAGTACTTAAAATCTCCATGTTTTAGCAGAGTTTTATTGCTCTTCCATTATAACCTGTAGGTTCCAGACTGTAAACAGGGCTGCTTCACTTTATATATTTGACATAGGTGGATCTCTCAGTGTAAATATTCCACATTTAGCTGTTCACTTCCTCCTCAAGGAACACTGTCAATACTGACCCACCCTGATGTACTTAATTAAGGATTTTGCTTTGGAAATGTATTTGTAATTAAATTTGCAGATATTTTTACTATTAGGAATCTTAATACTTTTCTACAGACACCTTTTGGTTGACTTTGGATCTTATATAAGAATTAATACCTGTGAGTATTTCCACTTCTAAAATAGTGTAATATCTTAGAAATGCAAAAAAAAAGAAAAAAAAATCCTTTATTTCCTTCCCAGAGTTGTATCCCACAGTGTTGTTCCATTGCTCCCAGCAGTGTTCTGTGTTGCATTCATGGGATAGAAATGTAAGTAGTAGGTGAGAATTTGGGCAATATTTGGGGAATATTTGTGCGGTAGTACCACAAGAAAGCTTCTTTAAGGGTTTTATCCTGAAAACTGGGGAAGGACCAGTTAGATGGAAGCACTTGGAAAAGGAGGGATGTTTATCTGTGGTGTAAACAACAGGGTGAAAATGTTCAGCTTCAACAGCTTTAGACAGTTATATTATAGGCAAGAAAAGGGAATTCCTCTTTTTCGCATGTCCCCTTTTAGAATTGTGTGCTCTAAATCTTCCCATTTTTCCATGATCATGGGAAAACCTGGAAGCAACGGTACCAAGAGAAATTCCCAGCCAGCAGCAGGGGTTTCTTCCCAAGTCATTGGGAATGACAAACTAGGTGGCAAAGACAGCAAATCTATCTTTTCCTCTGTGGTTGGATTGGTCACCCAAAGAGTGATCCAGAAAAATTATTCTTGCTTTGAAATTCAAGAAATAATTTAATTAGTGTTCAATATGTTAATATGTTAATTCTAAGGAAGTATCTTTTTTTTTTTTTTAATAAAGCCAATATTGTTGGCCTTTGCACTGCTACTGTCCTGAGTGAATCCCTTGGTGTCCCTTTTTTAGTTGTAGTTTGGTGCAATTATTTCCTTGGACAGTATTTCAATAGAAGATCTCTCTCTATGCCAATAACGGGAATGCACTACTGTTGTACTTTATAAAAGAGAAATTGAATGTTTGATTTGGGAAGAGGTGGCTGTAATATAACTACGTATGAATTTTGCAAAGTTTATATTTCCCATTTCTTGGTGTGTAGCTTTTCCATTTCTTAATCATTATTTATTACGTTTCATCAGACTGTAGCTGAATTTCTTGTAGACAACTGGCAAAATAGAGCACATGTCTATATTAAAAATGGCAAATTTACAATGTACATTTACACTTTGGACAACGGTGGACTTATGGAAATGGTTTCTATTTACTTGTTAAAATGTATTTTTTGTAAAAAATAAAAATATATAAATCGGAGTTTACAGGATCCCAACTTGTGTTTGTTTCTAAATAAAGCCTGAGCAGAGTGGCTGAAGTGTTGGGTGTTAGAAGAAAGCCTGGCTCAGTCTGGTGTTGGACTGGGCACACCAATATGGAAATGAGATGGGAATGTCCTGGATATGGAAAAGCAGGGCTGGTGTAATCCACAGGGTGTTAATGGAATGGAGCTGAATTTCAGGAAGTTCTGCTGTTGATACATGGATGGGCTTCTTTGCCTTCAGAAATTCACCAAGCACATGGACTTGCACCATCCTAAGGCAGTTCTACTGCTGTGGAACTCCTGAGGACTTCTGTAAAAATAATTTTAAAATCCCCTATTCCATACACATCCTCCTCCCTCAGCTGGAAAAGAGATGGAGAAAGAAGGGGTTGGATTGATCCAGAGGTTTGTGGGTCCCTGGGGTTAAGATTGATGGAGATGGATAAGGAGAGGACTGGATGTGTCAAGACTTAATTCAATAAATGGTCTCAAGCACTGCCAAAGGAGGGAGTTCCCACAGGATAACTCACCTAAGACAGGCACAGTTGGCAAACAGGAAAGGGGAAAGGTTTGGAATGAGCACAGCACCGTGGCAAACTGGGGGAAGGATTGTCCAGAAAGCAGGACAATGACAGTAAGCTGTGCCATGGGGATGATGACAAAGTTCTCCCATGGAAGGCTGAAAGAATTGGGATTGTTCAGCTTGGAGAAGAGAAGCTTTGGGGTGACTTCATTGTGGCCTTCCAGGATGTGAAGGGAGGTGACAAAAAGACGGAGGGAGTCAATTTCCAAGGGATAGAGTGACAGGACAAGGGGGAATCGCTTCAAACTAGAAGAAGAGGCGGTTTAGATTGAATATTAGGATGAAATTGTTCCCTGGGATGGAATTCCCAGAGAATTGCCTCTGGATCCCTGGCAGTGCCCAAGGCCAGGCTGGATGGGGCTTGGAGCAGCTGGGACAGTGGAAGGTGTCCCTGCCATGGCAGGGGTGGCATTGGAAGTTCCCTTCACTCCAACCATTCCATGATTCTGTGATGTGGAATTAATCTTCCCTCTCCTCTGCTGGGTGAGGCCGTGTGGGGCTGGGGAGCTCTCAGAGCCCCGTTCTGGGCTTCAGCCCTGCCCAGAGGCTTTTCTTCCCTGGGGCAAGAAGTGAAAGCAGAAGCCGTTTTCTCACAATGTAATTTGCCATTTATATTATGTTTTTGGGAAGTTTGGGAGACACGTTACCCGTTCACACTTTTTCAGGCACAGCAATGCCTGTTGTAAAAAATGCATATTTTATGATTGGCTTTTCGCAAATGTTACAATGAATATTATATGTGTAATGTTAGAAAGTTATGCTGGATTAATTCTCTTACGTAGCGTGTTAAATGTAGTTTTAGGTTACAACATAATGTTAAAATAGAAACTCCGCGATATAGGATTTGTTACAAGCTCAAGCAAGAAAATGAGATAATTAAGAAACTCTTCACACAGATGTCAGCGAAAGGGGCCCATAAAAAGTTACAGCCTCCTTATCAGAAAAGACAAACATTCTTCCACCTTCTCTCCATCTTTGTAAAACCAACAAGATTAATGAAAAAAAAGTTAACAAAAACCAAAAAAGTTGTTAATTTGCAAAAAATTATGCATCATATATAAAATATATGACTATGCAACAAGCTCTTGCTTTTAAGGTTTTTCCTTTATCCACAAAGTAGTACTTTCCATAACTTAGTGTCCAAGAGCATCCAAACGTCCATAATTCTTTGCTTTTTATTGTCTCATAATTGTCCTAACTCTAAACTTTATTACTCTAATTACATTATTAGTTTTATAACCACTTTATTATTATTAAACTTTAAAAAACGAGCGATTCGCGTTTTTTCACGCTGCGAAATTAAAAAAACAAAAGCGAAACAAAACAAAACAGAAACCCAAAAAATCTCTTCTGAGGAAGTGCAAGCATTGGTTTGTTGGTTTTTTGGGGGGGTTTTTGGTTTTTTGGTTTTTTTTTTTGTTTTTTTTTTTTTTTTTTTTTGGTTTATTCTGATGTTTTCGCGGTTTTTTTCCCCTGAGGGCGGCTGAGGCGGCGCGCGGGGCGGGCGCGCGCATGCGCGGGGCGGGCGAAGGCGGGAACGCGCGGGAGCCGCGGGCGGGCCGCAGGTGAGGGCGGGGGGGGACCCGAGCCGGGATTTGGGATTTTGGGGATCTGGGGAATAAGATTGGGGGTCCCCGCGGTCTGGAGAGCGGGATTGGGGATCCCCGCGGCTCCGGGAGCGGCCAGCAGCGCCTCTGCCTTTCCCCTGCCCGCGCCGGGCCGCCCGTGCTGGCGTATTGTTTGAATTCCGAGCAGGGTTGTTACCCCAAAAAAGTTTTTATTTTAAGTCTTAAACCGATGCACGGGGCTTGATACCGCCCTCTTGCAATCCTCAAACAGGAAGTTTGGCCATAACAATCACAACTTTTAGAAACAGGCTCAAAGCATCATGTCAATGACTGCGGTGCAATTCCAGGCGCTGCCAGCAGTGCCTGGGAAATGGGCACAAAGTTTGGCCAAAAGGAACAAGAATTGATGTGTGGGAGCAAGAACTGATGTGGGAGCAAGAATTGATGTGAGAGGACGAATTGGTGTAGGAGCAGGAACTGATGTGAGAGCAGGAATTGATGTGAGAGCAGGAATTGATGTGGGAGGACGAATTGATGTGGGAACAACAATTGATGTGGGAGCAGGAACTGATGTGGGAGCAAGAACTGATGTGGGAGCAAGAACTGATGTGGGGTTTGTTCTGTTTTTTTTCAGGAAACATGAAGGTCATCACGTGTGAAATAGTGTGGCATAACAAGGAGCCGGTTTACAGCTTGGACTTCCAGCATGGGGCAGATGGGAGGATCAATCGCCTGGCCTCGGCAGGGGTGGACACAGCCGTGAGGGTAAACCTGCCTCTGGAGCCTCTGCAGGGTCTGGGGGTTGTTGTCCAAAATAGGGGTTGGTTTCCTTATCCAAAATACTGGGTTGGTTCATTATCCAGAATACTGGGTTATTAGCAGGTACATGCCAAGGGGAGTGAATGGTTTCAGGAAATAGTGTAAGATTGTACAGGTGTCAATAGAATTATAGGGTGATTTGAGTTGGAACAGGACTCAAAGCCCACCCAGTGCCACCCCTGCCATGGCAGGGACACCTTCCACTGTGCCAGACTGCTCCAGCCCCAGTGTCCAACCTGGCTGGGGATCCAGGGGCAGCCACAGCTTCTCTGAAAATTCCATCCCAGCCTCTTCTCACCCTCCCAGGGAACAATTTAATCCTAATATTCAATCTGAACCTACTCTCTTAGTTTGAAGCCACTCCCCCTTGTAATTTCAAACTCTTGTAAACAGACTCTGTAGTAGTTTCTTCCAGTTGACTCAGATAAAACCTTTTCCTTCCTCATTGTAAAATTGACCCCTTCTTCCCTGATGGTGCCTGTGTTTCAGGGATATTTTAATACCTATATTAGGGCTAGAAAAATGTCATTTTTAAAAATAGGAAATATGCTCCCTGATAGGAGGGTGCAGTGAGCTGGGGTGAGGCTCTTCTGCCATGTCCCAATGATTTGTGGTTGCCAGAAGCTGATGCCCTTGTGGAGGCTGACCTAGAGCAGAGGCTGGGCAGAGCTACAGAATAAATTCGGGATTTATTAAAGGATCTCCTCCATGGATCCACCTTGGGCAGCACCAGAGCCCAGCCAGGGCTGCACCCAAATGACCCAAAATGGCCCCAAAATGCACGAGCGCTCCCGGGGGCTCTCCCTGGGATCAGTTCTGCTCCATTGGCACCTTGGAGTTCATTGTCCCATTCCAGCTTTAGCCCAGGCAGTCCCACCCTGCTTGTTTTTCTCTCTCCAGCCCACGCTGTTTGTGCTTCTGGGCTGAGATTTGGATCATTTGTCCTTAGTGCCCAGCTGGAGCAGGAATTGTTTTGTCTCCCTGCTCTGTGCACAGAGCTCACCATCCCATAATGTGAAGCTCATAACTGCACAGAATGTGAAAAGTGTAAAAACTCAAAGTTGAGGCATTACCAAAGGAAGGGAGGAGAGGAAATGGCCTCAAATGGCACCAGGAGAGGCTCAGGTTGGAGATTGGGAAAGAAAATTTCCCTGGCAGAGTGGTCAGGCCTTGGGATGAGCTGCCCAGGGAGGTTTGGAGTCATTGGAATCGTCCCAGAGGAGTCTGGATGTGGCCTTGGGGACAGGGTTTGGGGTGATGCTGGTGGCACTGGGTGATCCTGGAGGTGCCTGTCTGCCTTGCTGAGTCTGTGACATCCCATCTTGCCCTGGAAAGCTGTAACACTCTCCTAACTAGATCTGGAAAGTGGAGAAAGGCCCGGATGGAAAAGCCATCGTGGAGTTCCTGTCCAACCTGGCGCGCCACACCAAAGCCGTGAACGTCGTGCGCTTCTCCCCCAGCGGGGACGTGCTGGCCTCGGGAGGGGATGGTGAGAGCTGCTCCTCCTCTATCTCATCCAGCAGCATTTTGAAGTTAAACTAAATGAAATCCACCTGAATGAGCAAAAGGGAGTGGGAATTAAAGCAACTTGCTCTGTTTTCTTCTACAGATGCTGTCATTTTGCTGTGGAAGCTGAATGACAGCAAAGAGCTGGAGCCGTTGGTTTTTCAGGATGAAGATGAAGCTCAGCTCAACAAGGAGAACTGGGCAGTCATTAAAACTTTGAGGTAATTTATTATTTGATGAGTTTGGTTTTCTTTTCAGTGGTTTTGTTTTCTCAGTGTAGAACTCCAGCACTGTCTACAATTCATTTGCTCTGATATTAATCCTTTTCACTCCCTGTTAATGGCACTGAGAAAAAGGAGGGAAAGGGACATGTTAAATAATCAGGTGGTGACAGGACAAAGGACAATGGTTTTAAGCTAAAGGAGCAGTTCCTGGCAGCTGCTGAGGTTGGTGAGTGCTTGAAGCACCAGCAGGAGTTTTTATTTGCCTCTTGATATTTTTTTTTTAATCTAAAAATTAATAAAACTCATATTCACACATAGCTTTTAATTTTAAAATTAATAATTGGTTTCTCCCGCCTTCTAGAGGCCACTTGGAAGATGTGTATGATATCTGTTGGACCTCAGATGGAAATTACATGGCATCTGCTTCTGTGGATAACACAGCAATCATGTGGGATGTCAATAAAGGTAAATGCTGCAGTTATCCCTTGGAATTCCAGATCTGCTGGAAGCGCCTCATGGTATTTCCCCCCCCCAAAAATGAGAAACATCTTTTTTGTTTGTGAGGCCCCTCTATTTATAGATATAAAATATTCTCAGGCCAACAGAATGTACACCTGAGGAATCTGTTCACCTTGGAGTGCTTAGGAAATAACTTCACACATTTTTTACGCCCCAAAATTCTTGCACAAACATCTTCTATATTCCTTGCTCCACTTTTTGGTGTTGTGCAGCATGGCCTGAGCTCTGTTTATATCTCTCCTTTTGAAAAACTGTTTATTTTCTTTGAAATTTGTCAGCTTCTGGTATTTCTTTGCAAGAAAGCATCACTTAAATGATAGGAAAAATCCCACCTGTGGCCTGTATTCAACAGAGTATTTCTGAAACTCTCTGTGACTTTGTCTCATCAATGTTTTGGCTCTCAGACCTTCCCTTGTGGAGCATCAGTGGAGTGAGAGAGCTCCTGCTTTTGCTGATATTAATCTAATATTAATGCTAATTAATTATTAAGTTGCAGTGAGCAAACCTTAAACTGGCACTTTAAAAGCAACTTTTGCTGATAGTCTTATCAGCCACCATCCAATGAACACTTTTATGTTTAAAGAATTATTTCCCTACATTTTGAAACATTTTTTTTGTGTTATTTGATGTCTGAAATGTTTGGAAACACCTTGGAATTTATGATCTGAAAGCTGTTTGTAATTTCAGGACAGAAAGTTTCAATATTTAATGAGCACAAGAGTTATGTCCAAGGAGTAACCTGGGATCCTCTAGGCCAGTATATTGCAACCCTGAGTTGTGACAGGTGAGCTGTTGGTCTGAGGGTTTTTCCTGAATATTCCTTTTTCCAGGAGGATGAATTAAAAGGAAGTATACCAGATAAACATGAGGTTTTGTTTTATTCACTTTGTTGTGTAAGCAGGTTGATGTGAAAGTAAAATAATATTTTAGTTAATTTTTTGGCTTGTGCTCAATGATTCCTGCAGTCTCTCTTAGCAGCAAATAAACTTTTGTAGGAGTTTTCCTTTAGGAATTAATTTTTTATGTTATTGATCATTATTGATACACTTAAGAGAGTGCTGCATGGTTGTGTTTATGAGCTGATAAATTCATCCTTGGGGATGGAGCAGCCTGGGACAGTGGAAGGGTTGGAATTAAATTATCCTTAAGGTCCCTTCCAGCCCAAAAAAGCATTCCATGGTGATATGGCTGATGGAGATGTAGTTAATTGTTTTTAAGGGGAGTTCCCACTCTTGAGGAACCCACAATGCAGGTAGGCACAGCCTGGCTGTTCCCTAATTCCCTTATTCCTCCATAAATCCATGTGCTGGGACTTCCCAAACTTTGTGGAGTCCAGGCATTGTAAGGGGTTCTTCAGTCATTAAAACACATCTCTCTGGTGGTGTCTCGTGAGGAGTATTTTAATTAATGGTTAATTGGTGGTCCAGACTTACATTTGGAGGTGCTGACTGAGAAGGGAGATCCTGGGGCATTTTTGGGAAACCTGGGGTGAAGGGAAGCTTTTCATAGGAAAGGTTGGGAGAACTGGGATTGTTCACCTGGAGAGGAGAAGCTTTGGGCTGAGCTCAGTGAGGCCTTGCAGGGCCTGAAGTAGCCTCAGGAAACCTGGAGAGAGACAATTTCACAGAATCACAGAATCACTGGGTTGGAAGAGACCTTCAAGAGCATCAACCCAGCCCCAACACCTCAACTCAACCCTGGCACCCAGTGCCACCTCCAGGCTTTGTTAAACACACCCAGGGATGGTGACTCCACCACCTCCCCGGGCAGCCACTCCAGAACTTTATCACCATTTCTGTAAAAACTTTTCCCTGATATCCAACCTGTATTTCCCTTGGCTCAGCTCGAGGCTGTGAGCTCTGGTTCTGTCAGTGCTGCCTGGAGAAAGAGCCCAGCCCCAGCTGGGCACAGGCACCTTTCAGGAGCTGTGGGGAGTGACAAGGTCACCCCTGAGCCTCCTTTTCTCCAGGCTGGGCACCCCCAGCTCCCTCAGGGGTTCCTCACAGGGCTGGAGGGACAGGACACAGGGAATGGCTCTCACTGCCAGAGGGCAGGGCTGGGTGGGAGATTGGGAATTGGGAATTGTTCCCTGGCAGGGTGGGCAGGGCTGGGATGGAATTCCCAGAGCAGCTGTGGCTGCCCCTGGATCCCTGGCAGTGCCCAAGGCCAGGCTGGACACTGGGGCTGGAGCAGCCTGGGACAGTGGGAGGTGTCCCTTCCATGGCAGAAATGGCTGATTTTTCATGTCCCTTCCAACCCAAAGCATTCCATGATCCTTGCTGCTCTCCCACGCAGGGTCCTGCGAGTTTACAGCACCCAAACCAAGCGAGTGGCCTTCAATGTCACCAAGATGCCATCGGGGTCGGGAGCTGAAGGAGAGGTACGGGGTTCTGGGGACTGGAAACTGCTGGGGGCTCTTTTATCTGAGCTTCCTGGTCCATGAAACCAAAGGATCAAATATTTTCCATTCCAATAATTCCTGTCTTGTAGAATCATCAAGGTTGGAAGAGACCTTCATGCTCATCCACTCCCACCATCATCCCCAAAAGTTCTTGCTGATGAAAGCAGTAACACAATCCTTCAATTGTAAAAGTTAAAAATAGTGTGGAGAAAACAGTTCTTAACAGGAAATCTTCAAACTTAGTAGTAACTTCAAATGTAGCAGTAGCTGGGAGTTTATTAATGGATGTAACAGTAATTATAATAGTAATGCTATTTTAAATTTAATAGTAATAATATTTTAAAGTTAACAGTCTGGAATTTTCAAGAAGGTAGTTAGACTTTGAAGAAAAATATGAGTTAGGGATAATTTAGGAAATTCTAACCCTTAGAGGGAAAACAAAGAGCTTTTTTTCCCTCCCAAACAGCCTTAAGTGATAGTAAAATAACACCTCCAGGCTGGCTATAACCTTCTTAATTCCTTCTATTCACTGCTTTTCTTTTTGGGGAAAAGCATTTTTAAGAGTTTTATAGACATTGAAGAACAGGCCTGAGAGCAGGCACTTTGCCATGGGAGAAGTTCTCTTTCAACCTCTAATCCTGGGGTTAGAATGAGATGCCTGAGCCACACTGGGTGTTAAATAATGTTGTTCTCCAGGTTATGACTATTTTTTGATGGCTGGTTTAAGGTGACAGCTCTGGGAGTGTTTTGCTTTGCAGCTCAAGAGGGATCAAGGATTATTTTTCTTAGCTGTGAAGAATTTTTAGAAAGCTTGAAGGAGCCATGATTTTTTTAAAGGTCTTATTGAAAAGTTCCATCAGGCTGGAGTGTCCAAGTGGATGTTTTGTGTCCCTGGGATTGCAGCTGGCACATTCCTGAACTTTTCCTCACTCCTGTTTGCTGTGTTGCAGGTGAGGAGCTTTCGGATGTTTCACGATGACAGCATGAAGTCGTTCTTCCGCAGGCTCAGCTTCACTCCTGATGGCTCCTATCTGCTCACTCCAGGTGTGGGGACATCTCCTGGGCCTTGGGTTGTGGCACTGAGGTTGGAAAACATTCCCAAGGTCATGGAATCCAAGCTGTGCCCCATGCCCACCTTGTCCCCAGCACATTCACCTCACTCCTGGTGCTCAGTCCCCTCCTCAAATCCTCTCTAGAGCTCAAGGAAGTGCACCAGGGGTCAAATTCTGTTTCAGGGACACTTCTGGGGACCCAGGAATGAGGGGCTCTTGTTTCCAAACAGGATGGTGCAAGGAAGGAGAAACAATTCACAGAATTCTGGAATTATTGAGGCTGGAAAAGCCCTCCCAGCCCAGGGAGTCCCAGCTGGGCCCCATGCCCACCTTGTCCCCAGCCCAGAGCACTCAGTGCCACCTCCAGGGGACACCTGCAGGGATGGGCACTCCAAACCTCCCTGGGCAGCCCCTGCCAAGTCCTGAGCACCCTTTCCAGGATGAAATTTTCCCAATATCCAGCCTAAACCTCCCCTAGCCCAGCCTGGGGCCGTTCCCTCTCCTCCTGTGCCTGTTCCCTGAAGCAGAGCCCGACCCCCCGGCTGTCCCCTCCTGGCAGGAGCTGTGCAGAGCCACAAGGTCCCCCCTGAGCCTCCTTTTCTCCAGGCTCAGCCCCTTCCCAGCTCCCTCAATCTCTTATATCCTAATTTGAATGTTCCTTAATATTTCCTACATCTCAAGGATGCTGATTTATCCTAATTAAGCCATTCCTCATTCTCCCTACTGAAGAAAATAAAAACTCCACAATACTCTCCATTAACAATCCACAACATCAGCTTTCTCCTGTGATAAAAGTGCTATTTGTGGCATTTTTTCTGACTAAATTGCAACACCAGAAGTCTTAAAATAGAAATGAAGGATAATGAGTGGGTTTTTTTTGACTCTGTCCTTCCCTCAGAACATTCTGCATTCAGAGTAAAAACAGCCCTGCAAGGAGGGATCGGTGTGTACCTGTCCAAACCCTGCTTTTATGGATGTCTGGCAACACCAAAAAGCAGCTTTGAAGAGGGGAGGTGTATAAGGGAAACAAAACCAGCACTAAATAAATATTTGGGATGCCTTTTTAAGATATATTCAGCTTTTGCCCAACTGACAAGCCTAATTCCTGGGAATTAGAATATTTATGGAGAAGCCTAATTCCCAGGAATTGGAATGTTTGTGGACACAAGGTGTGTGCTCTCTGAGGTGATGAGTAATGTTGGAAGCTTTATTTTTGCAGCTGGCTGTGTGGAATCAGGAGAGAACGTTACCAACACCACCTATGTTTTCTCCAGAAACAATCTCAAAAGGTAGGGCTTTAATCAGACAAAAATCTGTTTGGATTTAGAAAGAAACAAGTCAAATAGTGCAGAAGTGGTTTCTGAACTCCTGCCTCTCTCCCAGGCCCGTGGGGCACCTGCCCTGCCCTGGCAAGGGCACCCTGGCTGTTCGCTGCTGCCCGGTGTACTTTGAGCTGAGAGGAGCCTCTGCTAAAGGTATGGGAAGCTTCAGGGAGTGGGAATAAATTTGGGAAAAGATGGGGCTGGGCATTATTTTACACCCCAGCCTTTCAGCATTCCTCTAAGACAGTGCTGAGAAGCTGTTTCCTGACTCTGAGGCCCTGAGTTCACCTCAAGTCCCTCATGAGTTGCTTTGGGTAGAGTGGTTAATGTTGTTCCTTGGCCTCTCAGGCTGCAGGAACGCTGTGAAATATTTTCCTTGAACTGTTAACCATTTTGTGTTCAAAAGAAATAACCTGGTTTAGCACCAGAGGAGCAATGCAGTGAAATAATTCCTGTTAGTCTCAGCTGCCCACATCACAGGGACTTGGAATAGTTTGCTGCAACCACTGGTGTTTATTCAAGGAAGCAGTGCTGGTGTTACTGAGCAGAGCAGGAATTCTGAGCTGGGGACAGGATTTTGTGAAGTTGCACAAGAATTTATTTTTTATTTATTTAATCTAGCTTTATTGTGGGTCCAGGAGTATTTATATTTTAGCAAGAGTGACTTTACTCAGGTGAAAAGGCAGAGTTTGGCTCCTCTCTTTAAAGGTTAAATCTGTAGTATTCCTTACAGGATTTACCTGTTCTGTTTTCATCATAATTTTATATCCATGGTGTTGCAAAGGAAGGAAGTGAGGGCCTGCAGTTGGTCTCTATATCTCCTTTAAAGTCAGACTTTAATATTAAAGTTCTTATAAATATGCTGAAAAATTCCAGCTGGAAAATAGAGGGGAAAATTTACAAAACAAAACAGCAGCAACGCAGAGGGAAAAAGGTGCCAATTTTTTTTAAACTAAGAGAACAAATAGTCAATTTCAGACAATGGGAATGTTAAATTTTACATTTTATGCAAGAGCTGTCTGCTCAGTGTTTATACTGATTGATGATGTAATTTTATTTAAATTAATGGCTAAGAGCAGTCACTGTCGTGCAGTAGATACAAGAGAATTCTCACTGTTCATTTCTTTGCAGATGAAATCAGTCCCAAATCCCCCCCTGCCCTGTTTAACCTCCCCTATCGATTGGTGTTTGCTGTTGCTTCAGAAGATTCTGTGCTTTTTTATGACACTGAGCAGTCCTTCCCCTTTGGTTACGTCTCCAACATCCATTACCACACCCTGAGTGACATTTCTTGGTAAGGAATTGTATTCCTAAGATTTATTGTGATGGGGAAATGTCCTTTTTCCATGTCCAGTTCTGCACAGCATTTGAGTCTTGCCTTGGGTTTATATTTCATTTATGCCACACCCGTGGTCACTCAGTGTCTGAGCAGCAATCCAGCTCTGTTTGCTCTGTAAATTTGAGAATTATGGCTCTTAATCAGTTGGTTGAAGTAAAATCTTGGCCTTTAATGGAAAAAAAAAATCCCAAACAGGTCCAGTGATGGATCCTTCCTGGCCATTTCCTCCACGGATGGGTACTGCTCCTTCGTCACCTTTGAGGAGGATGAGCTGGGAGTGCCCCTGAAGGAAAAGCCTCAAATCCACCTCAGGACTCCTGGAGCAGCAGCAGACAAGAAAGCCAAGAAGAGCCAATCCCACAAAGTGATTTCCCCAAGCTCCAAGCTGGCAGAGGGGACCCCTCCGAGCAAGGATCCCCCACTGCAACCCCAAACCCCCGGCACTGCTGGGAAGGAGCTGCCTTCCACCCCTGTGGGCATCAAAAGCTCTCCAGTGCCATCCCCTTCCACCCCTGTGGGCATCAAAACAGCTCCAGTGCCATCCCCTTCCACCCCTGTGGGCATCAAAAGCTCTCCAGTGCCATCCCCTTCCACCCCTGTGGGCATCAAAACCTCTCCAGTGCCATCCTCAGAGGAGAGGAGAAGCAGCCAGACAGGCACCCAGAGCAGCAGAACTCCCCAGCCCAGGAGAGTCACCCTCACCACTCTGCAGTCCTGTTTCAAAACACCCAGGTGAGATTTCTGGTTCCCCTTCCAGCTGTAAATACAGGGGCCAAGGCAAGCTGTGCTTGTGCTGCATTGAAAGGCTGAGCTTTGCACACAAATTCCCAGCCCTAGCTCTGAGTGGAAGCTCTCTTGATGTGGAGTTTTTTGTTGTGCTGCAAATGAGAGGTCAAAATATGGAATATTTAGGTTTCTGCCTGAAATGTGAGGCAGCAAATTCACCTGGGCCTTCACAACAAAACATGTGTCTTGGCCAGGAGTTGGACTTTGATCCTCTTGGATCTATTCCAGCTCAGAATATTCTGTGATTCTGTCTTCAGGTCCAATTTTCTGCACAAAAATGGTAACTGAAGCCTTCAGCTGCCAAGAACTGTTTAAACACCTTTCTGCCAAGGAGTATTTTAAGAAGAGTGCAAGTCTAGCCAGGCCCTCAGAGTGAAACTTAAAATATTGATTAGGTGACTTCCTAAAAGATCTGATTTTTTAGAAATTGCCAATAATCCAGGTATTGATTGTACTGGGGCTCTGAGCACCCTGCTCCAGTGGAAGGTGGCCCTGCCCATGGCAGGGGGTTGGAAGTGGGTAATGCTCCATTCAACTTGTAAAAAGATGGGAAAATGTGCACTAAAATATATCTGAACTGCCTTTGCAGTTAAGTGATTCTATATGAATGAAGTCTTGAAGTGGAATACTTGTGGAAGTGATGTCTGTAAAGCAATTTAACTGTTTCTGCTCTTTTAAAGGAGAATAAATTTGATTTCCTTGAAGCCAGACACCCCAACCTCTGCATATCCAGACCCAGCCCCCACCCCTCCTTCCTCACAACAGGAGCATGGTGAGTTTTTGTGGCTCTTAACACCAGCCAAGTCTCTTCCCAGTCAAATTTTTCCATTATAGATTTATATTGTAAAAAAATCCTCACTCTAATTACAAATTCTAAAGCTTCTTCATTGTTTTGATGTGTCTGAGAGAGGCAAACTGAAATGTGTTCTCCCTGCTCTGGGGCAGCTGATTGTGGCTGTCCCCACAGTTTTACAGCAGTGAAACCAAGGATAAATTCATGGGTGTGATGTTTTAAAGACTTTTGTGCTTCCAGTTATCCTTGTTGCAGGTCCTGGACTGTTGTCTTGATTTTTAAGATTTTCGAAAACCTTCTGAGTTTTCATTCTGTTAGAAAATTTTCTCACACAACTTTCTGTAAACAACCTATTGTTTTACATTCCTTCATAAGAGTAAAAAAGCTTGATATACTAGTAGTTTGTCCAATGTCTTTGAAAAAGTAACACATTCACTCTCCAATCCACTATCACCTTTAAAAAAATATAAATGCTAAAATCAAAAAATAAACACACTCTTTTCACCTTACAAATAACAATAACTCACATTATACTTTCACATATCCTATAACAACACTGGACTCTCTCAGACCAGGGTTTTTTTTTTTTTTTTAATCTAAATTTATTAATTTGAAATTATTTTCTTGTCTTCTTCTTCCAGAGAATCCATTGCCATCTGATGAGAGCCTCCAAGCTCCCCCAGCACCAAAACGTGCCAGGACTGAGGAATTGTCCCTTCCTGGAGACCAAACCAGCTGTGAGTCCAACAAATAAAGGCTGGGCAGACCCCTCCCAGCCTGAAGTCACAGCAGCCACGTCTGAGTGCATTTCTTTCTGCAAAAATTCAATCCTCAATTCCCAGTCCAAGTTCCCTGTGCCTGTTTGATGCAGAAAATCAACATTTCTGTGAAGAAACTGCCAGTAGAAGACCCAGGTTTCAGGAATTTGGTTCTGCAGCAGGAGAAATAGTTGGGAAGTGATGTCAAGAATAAAGAAATCAGGGAAATCTGGGGATTAAAAATCCATCCAGTAAGCTGTGAGTCTCCATCAGAGTCCCCAAATCCATGTTTAGAAAGCATTACATCTTCCAGTAACTGTCTGGCCAAAGGAATTGAATGCATTCATAAGATTTGATGTGGTTCAAGACCTGAAAAAAGAGGGAATTGTGACATTCCAGCATTTTGGTTTATTTCTGGTGTAAAATGCTGCTCCCCTGTAGCTGTGGGGTGGAGCTGATTCACTCTGAACGCAGCAGCAAAGCTCAGGACTGGGATGTGGAAGCAGAAATGGTAAGATTGAACTGCAGAAAACAAGAAAGCAAAAGGAAGAAATCCTCTGAAGAGCTGCTGGAAAAAAAAATGAAACAGCAGAAAGTTCTTCTTGTTTAATTTCTGGACTTAAAGAAATAGAGGTGTGAGATTTTCCTGAGACAAGGATTTGAGTGTGTACATTGAAATTTCCCCTTTCCTTTTTCCCCAACTTAACTCCCTTAGCCAATAAAACACAATCCACTGGATGGGAAACTTCTACAGCTGAAATTTCTTTTTAGCATTTAATACTTCATAAAAGCAGAAATACAAATGTTCCAGAAGTGATTCACAAAAGTCTCACAGGGAGGAAATATTAACAAACACCTCTGTCAGTCCTTCAGGCAAATGAGCTCTTGCCTCCAATTAAATTTCAATAATTAATCAAAAAGTTGTAGGAAGCTTGATGGGATCTTTGTTTTCTCACTGTGATGAGGATGGATTTTCACTGGACTTAATTAAAGCTGGATTTTCTTCTAGTGAAGAATCACAGAGAGATAATTCTTATATTTCTTGGGCTTCAAGTGGATTTTGCAATTTTTCAGGTGGGTTTCAAATAGAATTTGCAGTTTTTCAGATGGGTTTCAAGTGGATTTTGCAGGTTCTTAGATGGGCTTCATTTCAAATAAAATTTGCAATTTTTCAACTGGCTTACAAATAGAATTTGCAATTTTTTAGATGGGCTTTATTTCAAATAAAATTTGCAATTTTTTAGGTGGGCTTAGTTTCAAATAGAATTTACATTTTTTAGATGGGTTACAAGTGGATTTTGCAGTTTTTCAGATGGGTTTAAAATAGAATTTGCAATTTTTTCAGATGAGTTTCAAACAGATTTTGTAACTTTTTAGCTGGGTGAGGATTCATTATTCTCTTGCTCCTGAAAAGACTTTTTGCTGTGCAATAATGGTTAATTTTTAAACAGCCAGGCCTTGTGCTCCTTTGCTGTTGAAGTTTTAATTTTTAGCTGCCCAGCTGTAAATATTAATTTCTCTTGTCATTAATTAACCACTGCCTTCTGGTCAAAATTTACTTGATCCTTGCCTATGGATTCCAAACAGATTCTGCATTTTGTCTGCACATTCCCTGTGTTTATATGAACTTTGTTAGCAAATATAGACATAGAAATAATATCACAGATAAAAATATAAATAATATATTAATAATATAATAGATTAAAATATAAATAATATATTAATATAATAGATAAAATATAAATAAATAATATATTAAAATAAATAGAATATAAATATAATATAAAACATAAATACCATCAAATGCATTTTGTCTGCACGTTCCCTGTGTTTATATGAACTTTTTTAGCAAATATAGACATAGAAATAATATAATAGATAAAAATAGAAACAATATATTAATAATATAATAGATAAAATATAAATCATATATTAATATAATAGATAAAATATAAATAAACGATATATTAAAATAAATAGAATATAAAACATAAATACCATCAAATTAATCCAAAATAAAAAGACTTTTCAGGGATCTCTGGGTGTTTTCTGCTCTGGCAGCTGCAGGATCCTGAAGAAGGGGCAGATGAATTATGTGCTAACAAAATGTCAGGAATTAAATGACATCAGGGATGTGATTCCACCACTTTCCTGGACATCCTTCCTTTTCCAGGAACAAATATTTCCTGATTTTTTCCTAACCTGACCACATCCCTCGAGTGCCCAGCACGGGGACAATTTTTGGCAGTCCCAAATCTCTCGGTGCTGTCTGTGAAAAGTGGAAATGGTGGAATTGAGGCAGGTGTGAGATGTTCCTGCCCTGGGGGAGCTCCTGATTCTCTCTGGCCACACGGAAATTGCTGAAAAGGAGGAAAAGTGTCCATGGAAATGGAGGAGGCTGGAGAGGAGAAGGGACAGGAATGGGTGAATTGGAGCTGGGATGTGCAGAGAGGCTGGAGGAGGAGACAAAAAGAGTTTGAGGAGGAGTGGGAGGGAAGCTGAGAGGGAGTTTGGTGTCTCTGGAAATTCCAGTGAGGATCCTTCTTTCCCAGGATCACCTCATTTCCCAGGCTAGGTTTTACTTCAGAGTTTTTTTGTGGGGTTTTCTCCCTCTCTCAGATGGGGATGCTCTTATTTTTTCCCCCACAAAACTCCAATTTCTTACTCTCCTGCCAGCAGGTGACAGCATTCCCTAAAGCAAAGCAAACTCCCCTCTACTCCAGACTTCATCTTCCAGGCATTTTTCATCCTCTTTATTTTTTTTTTTCCTACAAACTGATAATTTCAGGCTTCTCTCCACATGCTGAAGAAGCAAACAGGATTCAGAGGGAAGAGGAAAACACAGCAGGATGACTTCAATCATGAGCAGAGCACAGCCTCTCCTGCTCAGTGAATCCAGAGGATTTTCCAGGAGGAATTGCCAGCACGGAGGGTCCAAGCAGCAGTCCTTGGATTAGCCATGGGCTGAGGGGACACAGAGTGCCAGGATTGCACATCCAGCAGAACCTCTGGCTGTGGGAACAACCCACAGAGCTCCTGGCAGCCTTTATGGAGAGACTGGCATGGATTTGGGGTTTGGGAGAAAAGTCCACCAAGGGAAGAGTGTTCAGTGCCTGGAGGGGGTGACAGGAAAGGAGGAGTGGTTTGGAATGACAGAGAGTGAGGTTAGGTTGGATAAGGGGGAGGAGTTGTTCCCTGGGAGGGTGGGCAGACCCTGGCACAGGGTGCCCAGAGCAGCTCTGGCTGCCCCTGGATCCCTGTGATGCCCTTGGGAAGGCTGAGCTGGAGCAGAGGCTGGGCAGAGCTACAGAATAAATTCGGGATTTATTAAAGGATCTCCCCCATGGATCCACCTTGGGCAGCACCAGAGCCCAGCCAGGGCTGCACCCAAATGACCCAAAATGGCCCCAAAATGCACGAGCGCTCCCGGGGGCTCTCCCTGGGATCAGTTCTGCTCCATTGGCACCTTGGAGTTCATTGTCCCATTCCAGCTTTAGCCCAGGCAGTCCCACCCTGCTTGTTTTTCTCTCTCCAGCCCACGCTGTTTGTGCTCCTGGGCTGAGATTTGGATCATTTGTCCTTGGTGCCCAGCTGGAGCAGGAATTGTTTTGTCTCCCTGCTCTGTGCACACAGCTCACCATCCCATAATGTGAAACCCAGACCCACACACTAAAGCAGCACAGATTATGAAACATAGAAAAGCTAAACCCTGATACATCCCTGGAAGTGCCCAAGGCCAGGATGGACAGGACTTGGAGCAGCTTGGGACAGTGAGAGGTGTCCCTGCAATGGTACTGGATGGGCTGTGAGGTCCTTCCAACCCAAACAATTCTGGGATTCTGGGATTCTATGGATCTATGCACACCAGGCTGCTCCAACCCCAGTGTCCAACCTGGCCTTGGGCACTGCCAGGGATCCAAGGGCAGCCTCAGCTGCTCTGGGAATTCCATCTCAGCCCCTTCCCACCCTCACAGGAACAATTCCTAATTCCCAACATCCCCTCTGTCCTTCCCAGGTATTTTCCCTGCTCATTCCAGATGTTCCTGCTCAGATCTCTCAGCCCTCACTTGGCAGCGCTTTTACCAATCATCTCTGAAGTCAAATCCCAACATTTGGTCCTGATTATCCCTCTCCCTGAGCAACCCCAACCCCACACAGCAGCTCTGTTCTTCCTCAGGCGTGGGATTTTGGGATGCTGCCCTACCCCTTCCAAGGGGATCTGACAGAGCTGCCAAGAGATGGGACTGGGGGTGCTGAGGCTGTTCCTCCTTCCCAATCCCTGTGGGAGAAGCTTTTCCATGCTCATCATCTTGGAGTCTCCCTGCAGAAAAGCTGGAATGGGCAAAAAGAGGCCAACAGCTCCTGAAAGGTGCCTGTGCCCAGCTGGGGCTGGGCTCTTTCTCCAGGCAGCACTGACACAACCAGAGCTCACAGCCTCGAGCTGAGCCAAGGGAAATACAGGTTGGATATCAGGGAAAAGGTTTTACAGAAATGGTGATAAAGTTCTGGGATGGCTGCCCGGGGAGGTGGTGGAGTCACCATCCCTGGGTGTGTTTAACAGAGCCTGGATGTGGAACTGGGTGCCAGGGCTGAGTTGAGGTGCTGGGGCTGGGTTGATGGTCTTGAAGGTCTCTTCCAACCCAGTGATTCTGTAAATTCTGTGATTCTGTAAATTCTGTGACCTGGGAGCAGTTGTCCCTCCTGTGGCTGCCACACTTCCAGCCCAGGCATGTTGGTATTGCTGAGGTTCCTGCTGATTTTTCCTTCAGCTGAAAAATCCCAAGAAAAGCCCCTGAGGCCTCTGTGCCTGCAACCTGAGAGGATTTGCCTCTCAGAGCATGAAAAATTAAAAAGATTCACAGATTTCTTTCTGTCTGGAAACTGGGTATAAACTGGGGCTCTTCCAATGCCTGGGAAAACTGATCCTGGTGCTCCTGAAAGGAGAGGAGCCTCTTCGTGTCTTTTAAGTTGTTGCCATCTTTTCTGAGAGGGCTGAACTCCCCAGATTTTCCTGTTTGTGCTCCAATTATTTGTCCACTCAAAATGTTTTCCTTGCTGAGAGTTGAACCAGGAAAGCTTCGTTTTGAAGGGAATTATTTCTCTGTGCATTTTTCCTCCTCAAGATTTGAATTTTATGCGCAATAATGCTAAATTTTGATGCTACATAATGTCAGGTTTTGTCTCGGCATAAACTTCTCCCCTTCAACCACCAAAAGTAAATAAATAAGCTGGATATGAGTTCTTGTTTTGATTTCTGCCAAGCTGAAATAAGGAATTTTGAAGTGTTGTTTGTTGAGGGAAATGGAAAGGAGCCAGGTTGGAATGGGAATGGTGGTGGGATCTCAGCCTGTTTAATTGATCTCCTTCAAAATGATCCTTTGAGCTCCCTGAGTGCTCCTTCTGCAAGGCACGAGCTGCAGGAGCCTCTGGATATTTTTGTTTTCCCTTTTCCAGTGGGGTTGCACCAGCTGGATACGCTTAAAAATAAACAGCAGGGCAGGAGAGGAGGTGTTGGCTGTGTGCTCCAATATTCCAAATTTGAAATTCCTAAAAAAATCTCCATCTCTGCTGTGGGATGGATTATTAGAAGGGAAAATTGACAGCCAGGAACAGCCACATCAGAGTTCCTTGAATAGCAAAAAACACTTTTCTGCTGCAATATTTTACTGGATAAAATGTCATTCTGAGCAGAGAGTGCAGGAAAAAGATGGGTTATTGTCCATGGCAATTATTCCTTGGAATGGG